TGAGTTGTGTATATATGTATGTGTTTTATATATGTATATGTATGTGTGTGAATGTGTATACGTATTGGGTTGTTTGGAGGATTTTTTGTTTTGCTTTGTTTTGTTTTTGAGACAGGGTTTCTCTGGGTAGCCTTGGATGTACTGGAACTCATTCTGTAGACCAGGCTGGCTTTGAACTCAAAGAGATCCCTTGCTTCTGCCTCCCACGTGCTGGAGATTAAAGGTATGCGCCACTGCCACCTGCTTGGGTTGGGTTCTTTGAAGCAGAGCTTCACTACATAGTCCTGGCTGGCCTGGAACTCATTATGTAGACCAGGCTAGCCTCAAACTCAAGGCACCCCTCCTGTCTCTGCTTCCCAACTGTTGTGATCACAGGTGCATAGGGTACCACCTTGTCTGACCACCACTCTGGGCTCACTTTGCTTTATTGTGCTAAATACACATGACATGAAATCTGCCATGTGTGGTGTGCGTATGCAAGTCTATGGTGTCAGATACTCTCAGAATGGTGGACAGCATCCCAGCAGCTCCTTACGACTTTGCTTCTGTAAAGCTGGAACTCTGTCCCCTTTCAACAGACCTCCATACCCTCTCCTTGTGCCAAGCTGCCACCATTCTGACTACCCAAATCCTCTCAGGTTTGTCTAGCAGCTAGTGTCTTTCAGTTACAGTGGTGTTCTCCAGGTTTGTGCAGACAGTGACACATCAGAATGCCTTCTCTTTTAAGGTTGAGTAGTATTTCAATGCATATGCTGCTGTTCTCTCTCTCTCTCTCTCTCTCTCTCTCTCTCTCTCTCTCTCTCTCTCTCTCTCTCTCTCTCTCTCTCTGTCTCTCTCTCTTCTTCAGGCAGAAACCTGGAGGCAGGAACTTAAGCAAGTGTCATGGAGGATGCTGAGTACCGGCTGGCTCCCCATGGCTTGCTCAACTTGCTTTCTTATATAGCTCGGAACCACCTGCCCAGGGGGCGGCACCACCCATAGTGGTCTGGCCACTCCCACAACCATCAGTAATCAAGAAAAATTCCTCACAGACCTGCCTACAGCCCAGTCTTATGAAGGCAGTTTCTCAATTGAGGTTCTTTCTGCCCAGATGATCCAGTTCATGTCAAGTTGACAGAAACTATCCAGCATGCCTTGTTTAGGTGGTCATTGTGTTTCCTCTTTGGAGACTGACCACAGAAGTCCTTTTCCTGCTTTCGGATGGAGTGGTTTGGGCTTTTGACACTGACTTTCCCCCATGGAGTTTCAGCTCTCTGCACACCCTGGTTGCTTTTGAGTGGACGGTTCAGCCCTGAGGCAGGAGGCAGGCTGGATGAGACTTGGCATGTTTCTAGGCACTGGGGTACAGCCCCCCACCCCCAGCCTGAACCTGGCACCTGCATAGCTGGCTGTGGTGCAGGGATTGAGGTAAGGCATTGAGACTCCAAGGGGCTCCTCTGTGGGGTCTGTCCTGGAAGTGTGTCTCTCCTGCCTGGCTCCACTTAGACAGACAGACAGACATCCATGCCTGAATGGAAGCCCCTCCGAACACCTTTCCTGACTCATTGACACCCACTGTCTCAAGTCCCTGTCCTGGGCTGCAAAGACAGGGAGACCAGAAGTCCTGGTTCTGAGTGTCACCTCTCCACCTCCACCTGGGTGCAGGCGTGCCTGCAGGGCCTGTTCCTCAACATCTTCCTCCCAGACATTCTTCTTCCCTTCACATACCCCTCTCCCAGGTTCCCTCAGTTTGTCCTCAACCTCTTTTCTATGACTTGGGCACTGAGGTTTCAATGATTTGACAAGCAACAGGAAGATGATTTTTTTTTTTAACAGAGAACAAAAATTTTATTTTTTATTTGTATTTCAACAATATGTGGACAGGTGAGCTTAGACTGTTATCATGTCATAAATTCCATGAATATAATTTAGATTAAATTCTTCCACTGAGTTGGTTGATGTATTTGCTATGTTACTTTGTCTCACAATTCTTTTTTTTTATTTGAATTAGAAACAAGATTGAATTACATGACAATCCCAGTTCCCTTCTCCCTCCCTTCCTCCCCTACCACCCCCCAACTAAAAACCCTACCTGTCACATATCATTTCTTCTAATCTTCACCTTTCTGCTCCCTCACGACCTCTGCATCCTTCCTTTTCTTCCCTTCTCATTCTCGTAGCTCCCTCACCCCCTCTTCCCATGCTCTCAATTTGCTCAGGGGATGGTGACCCTTTCCCCTTCTCCAGGGGACAAAGTTTGTCTCTTTTAGGGCCTTCCTTGTTTACTAGGTTCTCTGGCAGAAGATGATTTTTTTTACATTTTTTTTAATTTGTGTATATATAGGGGGCACACATGCCATGGTGCATGTGTGGAGGTGTTGCCCATGGACGTCAACCCTTTCCTTCCATCATGTGTGTGCTGAGGGTTGAGCTCAGGTTGTCAGGCTTGGCAGCAAACAGCTTTATGCAGTAAGCTATCTCAATGGCCCTGAAGCAGGGTTCTGAAATATAGAACAAGGTGGGTGATTGGTGCTTCTGTGTCCTGAAGACCTGAGTTACCCATAGCAGCTCTTCTCCCAGCTTGGACCACTAATCATTCTTGCAAAAGCCAGTTTGCCTTCAGGATAAATGTCAATACCAAGCGTGGAAACTGTAGGCTGGGTACACAGAGGTTCCTGGGGGGCAGAGTCCTGCCCAAGGCTGAGTGGACACCTGGCTGATGACCTATGAAGGGCTTGTTTGCAGTGCTGGGCATCCGTTTGTCATGCTCTAGGTTGCAAGGCAGAAATTTCCAACTCAACCAGCTCCAAGAGTAAGAACAGCACCATTTGTGAGATTGCTGAGGTGACCACTTGGTAAGTGGATGTGGTGGCCAAGTTATATTAACATCAGAGACACAGGCACTGTATCCTTCCACCCTCAGTGCACAGTGTTGGCTTTGTCCTAACTCTGTTAGGACATCTTGCAGTCTTGCAGTCACAAGACAGGGCCATGTGCTATGTGCCTAGTGGGGATACATTCTGTCTGGTGGAGAACATGCCCACCATAGCATCTGGCTGGCTTTCCTAGGACAGGTGTCCTCCAACCCCAGAGCAGGAAAAGTCACTAAGGTAATTCCATGGATAGGCGTATCAGAGAAAGCAACCACACTCCAAGGGCTGAGGATGGCTCTAGACAACCAGGTAATATGTGTGGAAACGTGGATGGAGGGGAGTCGGGATGGTGCCTGTCTTTTTGCTCCAGAGTAGGCAGGAAAACAGACCCTGGGTTTGTGAAGTGTCCCATGGAGGACCTCATTCATTCATGAAGCCAGTGATGAGTCTCCCACCAAAACCACAAGCTCAGCCAGCCATGAATCACACCCAAGATAAAGCCAGCCATTCTATAAAACAATTGAACTGGAATGAAACAAATCAAACATGGACATGCTCCCCAGACCACCCACAGAGTCTCACTTCTGGTCCCAAATATATGGCAGACAGGGTGGCTCTGAGTCAAGGATGGCTGGACAGTCTCTGGGAGCTCTTTGAGGTTGAGGAACAAGGTGTGACATCTGAGGCCGGACCAGGCCACTGCAATTGCCATTTGGTCACTAGCAGTGGCCAAGACAGCTGACACCAACAGGTAACTGGTATGAAATCTGGTCGGAGTTTCTAGTGCTCAACCCGTGGGTCACAACCCCTTTGTGGGGAGGCTGTTGAATGACTTTTTCACAGGGGTTGCCTAAGGCTATCATAAAACACAGGTATCGACATTGCAATTCAGAACAGTAGCAAAATTAAAGTTATTAAGTGGAACCAAAAATAACTTCATGGCTGGGGTCGCCACAACATGAGGAACTGAATCAAAGGGTTGCAGCATTAGGATGGTTGAGAACCGCTGTCCTGGTGGCTCCTGATGGCTCTGAGTGTGTCTGAATCTCAGTTTCCCCACTGTGAAAGAGTAAAACAAATGGAACCCACACTTAGGTGAGATGGAGGAGGTGGCTCCAGACTACTAGATATCAGGGACATGGTCCTTCTGCCTCCCTCCCTCAAGGTCAAGGTCAAGCCTGGCTTCCAGGCTCTCCAATTGCCTGTGGATCACACACTGTTGCCCTTGACTTTCAGTCTGCTCCAGGGATGTTTCCTCACCAGTCAGCTGGGCTCATTCCTTACTTCTGCTGTTTGGACTACCTCTCCAAAAGACAGTTCCACCTACCTCTTTACAGTCTGAAGCACAGCTCAGATGTGTTATTTAAGGCAACAGCTATGAGAGGCAAAATGAGCTGCCCAAAGTGGCCCAACCCTGATGCTAGAGTCAGGAGTGAGGCAAGACTTAGTTGCTGCACTCATAGGTCTAACACCCTAGGGCAAAGGACAGACCACAGTCAGGTCACCAACAGCTAAAACACAACAGGGGAGGCCAGTACTGTGAGCCAAAGACCAGATGTGGTGGTGAGGAGAGGTGGGTATAGTTTATATAGTTTATATGGGTGGGTCAGAGATGTCCTTTTGGGCCTTAGAAGTGGGGTGGACAGATTTGGGCAGTGTAGAAAGCCCAGTGGATCAGGTAAGGCAGGCTCTTAAAGTCACCACAGGGAGTCTGCATTGTGTAGGTGTGGTGGGGACCAACCACTGGTTCATCTCAGCACATGGAGAGGGATGAATAGATGGAGGAGAGGGAGGGAGAGAGAGGAAGGGAGAGAGAGAGAGAGAGAGAGAAGGAAGAGGAAGAGGAAGAGGAGGAGGAGGAAGAGGAGGAGGAGGAGACAAAGAAGGGTACAGGGAACAAGCATAATGGCACCCAGGAATGGATGGGGGTGGGATGGGGAGGGTGAATGATGGAGTATGACACCCCCCAGCATGTACTCTCCAGTAGTTAGAAGTGATGTTTTTCCTTCCCAGGCCATGCTCTCTGGAGCAGACCTTCCATCCTGCCTCCTACAAGAAGTCATCCCCCCTACTCCTTTTTGAGGTTGAGATGGTCCCTATTATGCCCTTCTGCCCACACCAACTAATCAGTTCTATTTACATTTGTAGTTCAATGTTAAAAAGTCCACGGAGCCTGTCCAGCCCCGGCCTCTTCTCAAGTTCCCAGACATCTATGGTCCCCGGCCAGCTGTGACAGCCCCAGAAGTCATCAACTATGCAGACTACACTCTGGGGACCACAGAGGAGTCTGCTGCACCTGCCAGTCCCCAGGCCCAGAGTGACAGTCGCCTTAAGAGGCAGGTTACAGAGGAGCTGTTCATCCTTCCTCAGAATGGTAGGGTTCCCTTTCCCTGGAGGGGGCATGGGCAATAGGGAGGGGTTTGCCAGTGTCTTCTGATGCAGTGTGTGACCTGCCAAGGCTGTCCAGAGCCCTGGTGTGGTGCAATAGGTTGACTTCATTGTTTGGTATTCAGCCTTCCTGTGAGAACTGAGAAGTCTCCTTCAGATCTTACTGTGTGATTATATAAGGGATTTTTAAAAGTCAAGGTTAGAAACAAGCTTCCGAATTATGCCTAATTCTCTGCCTTTTTACATGCTTGCTGTGTGGTATTGGACATGCAGCTAAGTCTCTCTGGGACATCCTCCTCCTCAATGAAGTATGATCATATTATCACTATGATGGTCACTGTCAAATGTATATAGATAACGACTAAAATAAAATGCCCGAAGCAGGGCTCAGCACATAGCATCAAACTGTTGTTATTGCCCTATTCTCCTCTCTATGAGCATCAGCCTTCAGAAGGTGGCCAACATGGTACAGACGGGAATAACAGGGAAGCTGAGACACAGGCCTTAACCCTCAGGAACACAGAAGATTCTAAGAGAGACAATCAAAATTAAGAAGGTGGCCAGTCCTGTGGTCCAAGTTGACTGCATGTGGCAATGCAGGAAGCAGCAGCTTTGACAGTGACGTGGGTTTATGTGGATTCCTGTTGGCCAGTGGACAGGAGGCCTGATGCAGGAGTCAGCAGTGTACATTGGCCTAGCTTTTTAAGAACCACTTCAATCCGCACTGCAAATGGGCTAATCCTTTTGGCTGTCAGCATCTAGGCTCTCCCCACCCACATTTTAAATAGATTCAAACTTGAAGACTTGAGAGTGGAAAGTCAGGCAAGACTCATGGGGATGAGTACTCTTGGGAGTGGTTCCCACAGTCAGAGCCTCTCTCAGGAGCCCCTGATTGTGAGATGCTTGGATGGAACCAGGA